AACCTATAATACCATGTCTTCCAAGGTATAAGGTACTTGAGATCATGCAGGATGTTTAATATCAACCCCATTAGCCCCGTTCCCCTTTCATTTTCCATGTTATTTTCAAATGATTCTCCATTATTCGGGTAATACACCTCCATATACCCCTACCCTAAATCCTAAACCCTAAACCCTCAACCCCAAATCCTAAATCCTAAATCCTGAATCCTAGACCCTAAGCTGAAGACGTCTGTGTTTTCTGAGGCTGCAGAGCGCTTCGCCAGGTGAGCTGGCCAGACCCCGAGCATGTCCAGGAAAGGCATTACAGAGGTATTCTTGGGTTTTGTGGGGGTTTTGGGGTTTGGGGTTTAGGCTAGATGGGGGTTTTGTGGTTTACGGTTTAGGTTATTTGGGGGTTTTGGGGTTTAGGGTGTAGGCTATATGGGGGTTGCGGGGTGCAGGGTTTAGGCGATATGAGGTTTTTTGGGGTTTAGGGTTTAGGCTGTATGGGGGTTTTGGGGTTTGGGGTTTAGGCTATATGGGTGTTTCGGGGTTTTGGGGCCTAGGGTTTAGGTTATATGGGGGTTTTGGGGTTTAGGGTTTAGGCTATATGGGGGTTTTGGGGTTTGGGGTTTAGGCTATATGGGGGTTTTGGGGTTTAGTGTAGCTTGTGTCTTGTGCGAAGCACGGATGTAAGTGTTTCGCGGCAGAGGCGCTGCAGGCCGGATGCAAAAGGGTTTTGGCTACAAGGGGATGTGTATATATGTAATCTCATATAGATATTATAGGGGTTTAGGGTTTAGGATAGGAATGCTGGAGCCAACATTCTGGCGCCTGCACAAGTCCAGAAGCAAAAAGGTGTTTAGGCTGCAAGGGGATATACAGATATGATGTTATATGGGATATATACCCCTAGCAATGGAGAATCAGACCCTAAACCCCAAACCCTAAACCCTTAACAATGGAGAATCTGTCAATGTACTGTGGGAAGTTGTTGAAGTGTGGTCTTTCAAATGGTTGTCATGGTTGTATTCGGACCGACACCATATGGTGGTTTCCCCAAATTAGGGCTATTGTTTTGGGGGTTCCCATAATAGGGATTATAGTATATTGGGGTCTCCCTATTTTGGGAAACTACCATATGAGCCTAGCAGCTTCGCTCAGAGAACGAAACCCCATCGGTCGTCGTATACGCTGTTTCATCAGTCTTAGGGTCAAAGTTGCGCTGCAGATGTATGAAACGCCCTCAGCGAAAATGCACAGCTTGGAAGCGATGGGACACTCACCAAGAACCACGTGCAAGCCCCATCCGAGAAGTACTGTCATCTGGCAGTACAAGGGTAGACCATCGGCATTTTGGAGATTTACCAAGAGATCGCAGGGCTACATCATGGGGATTACGTTAACGAGTTGTAGGGATTGCATGAGGTGGAGTTGTTAACCTTAATAAAAGTTCCACCATACGAGGGGCGCGCAACATTGCAGGGCCTTTTCACTGGCTATGGACTGTTTGGACTAATGTTTCGTGGTGATGTAGGATCCCTGCCAGGATGTCCGGTGCCGTCTTATGTCAGAATTGCCGCAGGATGAAGCATGAGTGAAGCTTTCTTTTTGAGATTTCTGTTCTTTGGATAGAACAGCATTTCCAGTCTTTGGGGGATTGCTCATTGCTCCGTTACCAGAGCGCAGCCGAAGGGCCAGGCCAAATGGTGCACTCCCCGTTACAACCTGCCAGCGCAAAGTCACGCAGTGGCAGGACGCTTTGCAAGGCTACTCGAAGTTCTCGGTGCGTGGTCAAATGAAATTCATGGTCAACTCTATGTCGCGAGGCGAGGTTTCTTGGTGAAGCCTGCGTGAAGTTATGTGCACAGGCTTTGCTTTTGGTAGACAAAACCAAGAAAATTCCACTGCAAACGTCACATCGTCTTTTGCGGCCTGTCCCCATGACTCAGGCTACCAGCTAGCTATGCAAGATTGGTGGTATGGGGTGGATTCGTGTCGGTGCACCCGACGTTTGGGCTGTAAAATGCACACGTGTTTCGTGTGGTTTTCCTCTGGCAGTTGAGAAGGTTGGGACTTTTGATCCTGATTCGTAGCACTGGTTGCAGCAAGCGGCTGGGGTCCAAAAAGCTTGACTGTCTTCCCTCTAGCGGAGGAGCAGCGCTCTGAACTTCCATCTTCAAAAGATGCCGAAAATCCACAATTTTTTGAGGCCCTGGGGACACGGCTGCTAAACGTTATGTTGCCCTCAGAAAAGGGACTGCATTTTTTGAGGTGACACGATCAGAAGAACACGCGTGTATGCTTAGAAATGTCACCTTGGCCAAGGTTCTTGCTGCGGTACCAGAATGCACAGTTTGTTTCAGTGGATCTAGCTAATTCTCCGACTTCGAATCCTGGTACAGTTCCAAGGTCTGCTTCCTCTTCTACGCTGGCTGGCAGCACCCTCAGCCAAATACATCTGAGCTGCCCTTCAGGGACGACAGCTTGGGCCTAGAGGGACTCTCTCTCACTCTCTCACTCTCTCTCTCTCTCTCTCTCTCTCTCTCTCTCTTTGTTTTACTCTCACTCGTACGTGCACTGACATGGATGTCGTTGGTGCTTGCCTTGAGCCCTTCTGTTTTGCTGCCTATGTCAAAGTCACATTTTTTCAGGTCCAAGGGCAGCTTCACAGTGGAGGACCGCCGGCATCACACGCTTCCTATTTGAAAATTATCCTCTTAAGTCAAGCGCCGTGGCGCCAGACATTGAACATGTTCAAAGTTGGTCTCCTTGGGTACTGCCCCCGCATTCTACCGGTTGGACAATATTCCTAATGTACTTAGCACTTATATATAGCCCTTTATATGACCCCTAGTATAGACTATTACAGGGTGGGGGCAGTACCCAAGGTCTCCGGTTCTCTCGCAAAGCCTGGCAGTCAGGACCTGGAAAAATCGACGAGCACATGGGGAGTCAAGTGCGTCAGTCAGACTCTGAGCTCATACAGAAACAAGATGAGAGGTTATAAAGGGTTCTGTATTTTAGAAGGGGACGTATAGACATATATATATATGTATATGTATATATATATATGCATACATACATATGTACACACGTATTTTTGTATTTTTTGGAGGTTATATAGGAGTTATGGCACATTCGACCTGCATCTTGCCCGGCTGTCCAGTCTACGGCAAATCGTTTTGGGCTTTGTGTTTCTGTACGAGTACCCAGGGCCGTATCCAGCTAGGTAGGCGATGTTGGCTTAGAATTCATTGCGCTAAGCCTCAGGCGTTGACGTGGGCATTGACTCTGCTGAGGAGCTTGCGTTGGAGAAAGGCGCTGGTCCTCAGGGCGGAGTTGCACTGTCCGATTACTCCGGTTGAAGTTTTCAACTTTAAGTTTCCGGGATGCGGGAATAGGGCTTGAGGCTTAAGTCTCTAATTAGATATCCATCGATGAAACACCGTGGGACTCAGCGTCTAAGAGTCTAGGTCTTCGGTTCTGCTGTTGAAGGCAAAATGCGGGTCTGCGGATTTATCTGGATCATCCTGGACCTGGCTCATATCAGGCCGAGGCATAGGTAAATAGTTTCCTGTTGTTCACCGATTGCTCCGTTTGAAGTGTGCACATCCCGGCTGCAGGTTTGTTCCAATCCTTTTTGCGCACAAGCCACGCACAACGAAGCAAGCTTTCCACAAAGGACAGCCAAACATTTGTTGATAACTTTCTAACAACTTTGCAACCACGTGTCTAGCCAGTGTCAAAGAAGCGTTATCCTATTGCAAACAATTGTTAACAGTTTACTGCCAAACTCCAACCATTTTCCCAGCAACTGCGCAAAGTTCGAGTAGTTTCCAAGCAGTGACTGATTCAGTAGTTTTCAGGCATGATGCCGAATCCGACTACCACACGCCATCATTTCCTGTAGCAGCTCTCTGGTCTCCGAGGAGTTGGAGCCCAGCTCCCAGTGGTCCGTATCTACGCACCACCTGCCGCCAATCATCTGCTCGGGGCTAAGCTTGAAAAAATGGAGGAGAGAAGCAGAGAGGAGGAAGAGAAAGGCGCATACGAGCAATGTGGAACACACACTGAAAAGCCGCTTCCATATCATCTAGCACCGCAAGTTGAAGGCCACGTGGACCAGCAGGATTTAAAAGAGCCTTGTAACCGTTGTAACCAGGTGTGCTTCACTTAGTGCTTGTACGGAAAAGCTGAAATGCTTGAAGTCCAGCCTAGATGCTCGTGCAAGACAAAACCGTGTATAGCCAGAACACTTCCTGGCCTATCTAGGGAAGAGATGACTTTTGAAGTTCGGCTGCTCTTTTGAGCATAGAGCCTGGATCTCCATCTATCCTTCATTGTTGCCTGCCCTGCCAGGGAGGAGCTTGTGGGATCTGCTTGTACAGCAGCAGCTGTCTCGCAGCGCCTGCAGTCAGCCAAGCAGAAGGCCTCGAGATGCTTGTGGGGGTTGTCTCCAAATGGGTTAGGGTAGGGTAGGATTGCAGGTAGGGTGCGTGGTAAGGTTCAGGGCACAGGGTGGGGGGGTACGGGTTACGGTCTGTGGCTTTATCCCCCCAAACGGTGCCACCTTTAGCCATGCGCAGCGATTAGGTTAGGCTCCTGGCATCTCCCCAGCTTTACTCATCGGTACACATCCAGAAGAAAGTAGGCAAGTGCCTGAAGCGGTGCTTGAAGTGCGCATCCAGCTCGGTGTTCCCGGCCTGGTTGCAATTCATTGGCGCGCCAGCATCATGGCTCAGAGGCCAGCTGTGCTCTGTGGAGCATCTCGCACCACTCACACGTCATAGTTTGTAGGAACAAGCAGAGGATGATGTGAGAGCCCTCCCAAGGGTAGCCAGAAAACAGATGCTTCCTCCAGATTCCTCTTCTATTGAACTCATGGCAGAATCTGGTCTTGCAGAAGCGCTTTGGATATCATGGGGCGGTTACAGGATTTTTCGCCTAAGATTCGTGATGAAGCTGCTGCATACCGTAAGGGGCCTTAAAATGGACCTTTGCTACAGATCACTGAGTTTGTTCAGCGGATGACGGAGATGTCTTGTTGGCATGGTCAGCCAAGCGGCTGCAACCGGCCATGCCGGCAGCTGGTGCCCTGCCTAGGAACTGGGGGTGCGGGGGCGGGGGGGGGGGGGGGGGGGGTGCTTTGGTGGTGTGCAGTGAATGCAATAGAGAGGGTTTGTCTTTGGCGGAGGACTAGCTACAAGTGTGTGGTTAACAGCGCCTCGAGGGTTGAGCAACCTCTTGGAGTAGCATCGAAGGGCTTTGCATAGGCGGATGTTGCCGAGACATTTCAGCTTACTTTGAGCAGCAGTCAAAAACTTCAAAAAGCTACGCCCAATGAGTACTACACGTAGGATCGACGATGTGCCAGGCTTGTTAATGCGTACTGTTCAGAGGGACGCAGGAGATCGTGCCTGCACAAGCTTTGCATCAGCGAAGCAGAGCATGTCCATGTGGCTTGGCATGAACATCTTCACCTGCGGCTCGTTAGCGCGGGAACTTACCATGTCATCCCTGTCTCAGCTTCGTCCGTTTGTCAGGGACATCTTCAGCTGTTGCATGTCTTCAGGCAGTCATGGCTGTGGCAGCGCTTCTTATCAGCCACGAGGCTTTTGTTCAGCCGCTTGTCCAATGCAGGAAGATGGCTTGAAGATGGAGGAGCTAACAAGCGTACAGTCTCGTGACTGCCAGCTGTAGAGGTGGTCTGGGTAGAATGCTGGATCATGAGTGGCCTTCCAACATCTTCCAACCTTCATCAGGCAGAGGTCAAGTGCCCTAGACAAGGCATCCAAGAATGTAGCTGATGGGTTTGGTTTGGAGTGGCCAGGTGCCTTCAAGTGGTTGGGACTTTGAGGGCTCAAGGGTTGAGATGGCAGCGCCACCACGCAACTCTAATTATTAGCATGGAGGAGGGCAGACTATTAACTTTAGTGGCAGAGGGCTCAGAATTCCAATAGTGCTATGCTCCCATGGCACTTTCCTGGAAAGCCCCGTGTTCTCAGTACCTGCTCCTTTCTACAGTCCTTATACACAGTACAATGTAGACCATCAAACCATATCTCCGTGTCAGTGGAGATGCGCCCTCTAAGGCAGATGCCCCGTGACTGGCGAGGCCACAAAGCAGAGTGCCTGTGTCAAGTTCTTTGAGAGAATTCGATATGGATTCATTTCCTTGCTGTTGTCACCCTAAACCCGAATCCCAAAACCTATGTTGGTAGATCTCTTTCTGCGAAATATGCGAGTTGAAGCTGACTGGGCTCTCCATGGGGTTGTACCCTGTGCGAGCCAGCGAGGCATCCCTCCCAGAGCGGGGCATAATGCTTGGTGCGGTGCGTTTGGTCCGTGGTACTTGCCAAGCTTCCGGCCGGCTCAAGTTAGGAAGATGGCCCAAAAATCATGTTAGGGCGCAGGGCCCGTAAACCAAGGGCTCACCACAAATTAGACCGCCCACCACGCAGCACAAAAGACCCAAATGCACTGCAGGGAAGTTAGGCAGACCCCAGCACTTGACCCATCACCTGGATCATGGAGGGTCCAAGAGTAATTGGTCATTATATAGTAGTTTCCATTTTCTTTTCCACTGCTTCCTGGGTTTGCTAGGCCCAGGCACTGGCCCCCCCCAGGCCACAGGCCTGGGGATTTTTGAGTGCCTGGCCATGATTGATGCCTACGACGTCCTGGGTGTCGCCCTGGACTGTAAGGACCAGAGCTTCCGCACAGCACTTGGGGATATGACTCTTTTGCTTTTGCTTGTGCGTGTGTGCACAACGCAATGCATTTGACATGTTTGACATTTGTGCATTCAACGCAGGTGGGTAACCCGTTTCTGACTGACACATTAACTGGAACCCCTCCACCCTGTGGTAGACCAACAATATACAAGCATCCTACTATGATCACCAGTATCGGTGGGGGGCCACCCCAAACCCTAAACCCTATATTCATACATACTTATCTGTACACTCATATATAATATGAGTATATACAGCCCGTATTACAGGGTGGTGGGTCCACCTAACTGATACATGCTTCAAAGCTGAACTTGGGCCCGGGAGGCCGCTAACAACAGATTTCTTGGTTTACCTGAAGGGGTTATAGGGGTTAAGCGTTTAACCATTGTGGTGTATGGACATAAGTATATAGCCATAAGAACTAAACGGCATAAAACGTAGGGTTACATGTATTGTTTCGCTAGGAAATGGACTAAGTAACTCGATATAGACATACGCATACAATGTATGTACAGTAGTTTTTTTGTGATTTCCTAGTAGTTCCATGCTCCATGAGCATGGCACCATGAACCTTGTGTAGCCTCTGTATACTGCTTTTTAATCCCTAGATATCCCGAAATGACCACCCCCCAAAACAACTCCCTCTAGAATTCCTAGATATCCTAACATGACCCAAAACCCCTATCGAATCCTAATGTATCTCATATAACCACCCTAAACCCCATGATGGAGGGGGATACCTGGTCCAGGAGGATGACATCAAGCAGGCTTTTCGCAAGATGTCTCTCCAGACTCTTGGTTTTCCATGGGGCCCTGAGGAACTAAGATGAGATAGGGTCATAGAGGGGTAACATGGGGTCATGTAGGGATGTTACCTCGATTCCGTCAGCGCCGTCTTACGTAAGTATTGCGAGCTGCGTCTCCAGCAGCAACAGCGGAATCTTGCACTGGCTTCTAGCACCACCAGTGAGCCAAGGAACCATCCAGACAAGGTTGGCGGCGGGGTCGAGGCAACAAACAAATTCAATGAGATCAAGAATGCCAAAGAGATCCTTGGCAGAGCTGCAGTCAAGTAGGACTTAATTAGGACACCAAGACCAGTTTGCAAACTGCTGGCGGTCGGAGGATTCATGAGGTATCCTTCCAGAAAAAGAGGAAAAGCTTCATACGGAGAAGCTGCAGTCCATGTTGAGGATCCTCTCAGATTCCGAACGGCGGAAGATCTACGACACCTTCGGGATGGACTTAGGCTGTCTGCAATCTGATCCAAAACTAGGAGAAGTCTTACCGGCTTAGACTTCCATTCGGTCTGGCCTTCCACGCTGTAGCTTCCTTTCGCCATTCCTTGAGTTCCAGCATCTTAACCTTCAAAACCTTCGATTGATGTCAGGTGAAGAGCGTCCCGAGATGGAGGCAATCTGCCTGTCCTTCTCAGTTTCTCTTCCTTGTGGTAACCAGCAGGGTTGGGCCTGGGAGTGAAGTTTATTGGTGGGTCCGAGTTCACGGAGCAGGGTGCTTCTGGTGGGACAGTAGAATTCTTGACGTTTCGGACAGTGGCCGTTGATTTTTGAGGTGCGAGATTCTTGGGCTGCTCAGATTCAAAGACCCACACAGCCCGCGTGACAACAGGGCCGGGAAATTCACTGTGACGCCTTGTTGCTGTTTGCCAACTTTGCTTCAGTGCAGGCCCTTGGCGCCTGAAACCATTCCTAAGGGCCAACAGCAAGACCACCGCGCTCCAGGTGTGGACCATTGGCATGAGCACCCTTCTTAGCCCCATGGGCGGCTTCGTGCTGATCCTTGGAAGAGAACTCGTGCCTTCCTTCAGGGTTTGCAAACGGCGTTGTGGATTTGGTGTGGTGGGCTTGTGTTTGAGCAGTCATGAGAGGCATCCCTTACCCGCACTACAAGCGGAAGCTCAGGAAAACTATTGTGGCTCGGAGCGTGCTGTGGCTGGTTGACTGGGTGTCTTTGCTGATGAATGTCTGGAATGTCATCTTGAATGTAATCATGAGTTGTCAGATTTTGAGTCATCTGACTATCTGGGATCCAGAGCCGTGTGTTGTGAATGGAGCACCCTCAATGTTGCATCATTCTCCTTACTCGGGGCTCTCCTGTCTTTGGGAGTAACATTTTAAATCGGATGTCGTACGTGGCCTCTTCCTTGTGCACCTTTGACCGGACATGTAGCGTTAATACCAACCCCGCCCCCCACTACAACAGTCCCTATTGTAGGTGTGGTGCTGCTTGCTTATGCCTGTAGCTCCCCCAAATGAAAAATCCAAATAAACCAATACATGAACCATGATCTAAACTCCTTAAAGGGGGGTTATACAGGGGATTATATAGGGGACTACTATAGGGCTAGCTCACATGAATTGATCCTCCTGCCCCTGACTGACGAATGCCTTGAGGTGAGTCGCTGTCAACATTACGGCTTACTTTATTTAGTCCAGGCGGTACTTGTCGGGCAAAAATCCCCAAGATCGAATTGAGACTTCTCAAAGCAGTGGGCTTCATTCATCTGAGTTGTGAGAAGCTCCTTCACAAAGTGGAGATCGATAGGGGACATCCCAATTCAAAAGCCAGTAGAAGCCCAACAAGTAATTTTGACGCCGCCTCAGGTGTGGATTGGCCGACTGCTCATGCTCCTTGGCTGGCTCTTGAAACTTTCAATTTTGGGTCTAGAGGGATCATATGGGGATTATATATGAGCTATAGTCTAAACTCCTTAAAGGGGGGTTATATAGGGGATTATATAGGGAACTACTATAGAGGTTATTAAGGGGGATACTAGGAGTTTAGACTATAGCTCATATGGATTATATGCCCTTACTCCCTACTAAGCCCCATATAACTCGGAGATCCTTCGCCTTAAGCTAAAGTGTCCAGCCATGTAAGTGGAGGGTTCCTAGACTTACCCGAGGCTCCTCGGGCCCTTAGCAGCTGGCTTCTACGCCTTGGACATCAAGCGGGGGAGCTTGGAGATTACTTGCTGGTGGTTGGGAAACACGGGGTTATAGAGGAGTAGATGGGGATTAGTAGGAATGCATCCCACCAGTGCTCAGACTCAGATTTTTTCTGCATGCAGCAATTCATGTTCTATTGCTTTCGTTGGCTTCAGTGGTTCTGAAGCAGAAGCTACACTACGCTCCAGGTGGGGTAGGCCGATTCAAGGTTAAAAGCGCATATCTGCGCTTGGAAACAAGGCATTTTTAATTTTTGGAACAAGCGTTATTCAGAAGCTAACCCCGATTGTAGGTTCTCCCAGGGTTTGGGGGGGCTGCTGCGCACAACACGCGCGATACACATGGGCTGGGCTGAAATGCTTCCCTTACCCTCAGAGACTTGCAGCTTTGAGAATCCCAAGAAATCTGGAAGCCAGAGCGAGGGCATGCGCGAATGGCAGGTTGGGCAGCCTCAGCGCCCGGTCCGAAGAGGCGCTCTCCCTTTTCATACCTGTCTTCGTTATCGATGTTGCTGCTTGAACTGCACTAGCAAGGCATGCAGTTGATGAGAACTCTTGAAAGGTTGATACAAGTGGGCTTAGGTGGGATAGTTGCCCAGAACCGTGAGCGTCAGCGTTAGTCACGTGGGAGCCAAGGTCATCATTCTAAATTGGTTATGGCCGCTTCTGGCAGATGCGGCCGCTTGTCATTGTTTGGCGCGGCTTTGCGGCCGCAGTTCCCCCGAGTTCCAAAGGCCAAGACAGAGCATTTGGAACTCGGGCCAGACAGACCCAGCAGGGTGCAGGGTGGAAGTCCGTGACGAGAGTGCTGCTCAGGTGTGCGTATTCTATCTAGTGGCCGAGATTGTCAGCGTGCAGATTCTCATGGAGAGCTCCTTGGCGGCCAACACATGGGCGAGTTTCCGTTAAAGCCAGCTAGCGCTTCACTCCTCGCAGCCGGCGTGCACATGCTCACCACCGTGTTAACATGAGCCTGCCCCCTGGCTTGGGCACCTGAGGTTGGAAGATTGGTGTTGGCGTGGGGCTCGTTTCCCTCTTCCTGGCCTGGCTCGTTCGTGGCTGGTGGCGCTGGAAGCTTGCTTTGGACTTCATGCTTTGAGGGGTCCAGTTTGAGCTTTCAGGTGGCGTGTGGTCGGCCGAGGGGCATGAATGAAAAGTTTGGGTCACAAGGCCAGCAGGGTCAGGTGAGTAGACAATTGAATCTTGGTCTGGGATAGCTTTGAAGCCCGCGAAGCACGGAGGGAGCGTTGTCGCAATGACATTGCAGTGCCCATGCAGTCCGTATTCGTCTTGTTATCCCTCCGCTCTCAAGCAGTGGTATCAGAAGACTGCCGAGTCGCTCAGATACTGTCCTCGTTGTCCCTTGTCATGTGCAGTAGTGTGTGGGTTAGGGACCGAGATCCCCATATATCCTATATAGTATGGGCTATAGTGGAGACTCCTAGTATCCCCTTAATAAGTCCTACAACTCCCTTTGAGGGAGTTTAGACTAAGCGCATATAGGTGTAGCGTCTGTTTCATGGTTCACGTTGTCTGCCATTTCATGCTCCATCACTGTAGTTTCCATCTTCTTCTTCTTCTTATAACTTGTAACTCGCCAAGGATAATGGGCCTGGAGATCCTGCTGGCAGTGGTGCTGCTGACTAGACCTCAGCAAATTGCAGGGCTTTCGGTGGAGTTGCCCAGGGTTCGTATGGCATCAAGTACATGGCAGCAAGTTGAGCTTCTCAGCACCAACAAGGATTGCGCTTACGATCTCCTCTGGGATCGTGCGCCTGTGGATTGACTCAGTATTCACTCAGCACGGAGAGAAGCTCAAGGACAGGGTTACAACCATGCCCTTCGTGAAGCACCCTGAGCACTGTCGAGTGGCGGCGGTCTCTTACAAGAAGTTGCTCCTGCGAACCATGCTCCCGCCGCTACACACAGCTAGTATGCTCTGAAAAAGCGGAAGCTAATACCATGCTAACCATGCTGAGGCCAATCGCCTGGTTACCGAAGCCTGGCTTGCATTTTCTCATCCTGCAGGAGTGGCGCAACAGCATGCGAGCCAGGCGAAAGGAGACGGAGGACAGGACCGCGCACCTCAAAAGTTAGGCAACATACGTACGCAGTTACCAAAGACTAGAAACTTGGATGCCGTCTAGGAGGCCCCGCCAGGGTCACCCTCGTGTTTGCCAGACACCTTTTGCATTGCAAGGTTATAGGAGCCGAGACGCCAGAGGAGGGAACGGTAGTTACAAAGCAATATGAGTAGGAGCAGCCCGTAGGATTGGTTTGCCTTCAGTATGCCTTGCGTAAAGCATCTGCAGGCCAGCACCTTGATGATTCTCTGCCGAAATCTCGAAACCCTGTAGCTGCTGACTCCTATGCAGCTGGTCAGGCCGAGATGGACAAGCTACGCAAGCGAGTTCAGACTCTCGAGGCCTTGCCTTGCCGGGCTGCAGAAATTTGTGCCATGGATTCCATAGATTAAAAAAAGATGGAGTGTGAGTCAACTCCGCAGTGAACAAAACAAGGTGAAGCCTATCTACCTGAAATCGGTTTGAGCTGTTGTATTGCTTTGAGCTTGTCTCACCCGTGGGGTTGCAGGGCTTGTGAGAATTTGGCCCTTGCCACCTGCATCCCAGTTTATCCCAGTGTTTGTTTCCCGTGCTTAATTTAGGGTTGTAGGCACGCACCACAGGAAGGATCCGCTCGGTGAAGGATCGGCTGTGGCAGCTGACGCATCGCAAAACTATGTAATCCCTTCCCCCTAATATGAAACCCCCCCGACCCTGAAATCCCTGAAATAGCAAGTTCCCCAACTTGTCCAAACAGAGAACTTCATCAAAGCTGTGTGTTCTTGGAGGTGACGCCCGCAATACCCCTTGGTTACGTATACGCAGCAAAGCCCAAAGATTATGTGCTTTTGGGTATGAATACGTGCAATAGCATGCTGCTCTCCTGCTGTATACATCTACGATCTATGCATATGTAGATGCATACCCAGATGCACATACTGTGCGCAAGAACACACACCTGTACTCAGCAGAGGAGGAAAACGAGAAGCTCAAGAAGAAGGGCAAATCCTGAAGCAGCCCTTGTAGAGGAAGCCGTAGCAAGCGGCAAATGATGCGGGGTTGAGTTTAGGATTTAGGCTTCGCGCAGGGCCTATCGAACTTATCAAACCAGAAACTTGTTGATAATTCTGTCGGCGCTCAAGGACAAGGGGGTTGTTCAATGAGGGGTCCATCCAGACACTTGGCGCTTCCAATGTCTTTGCCATCTTCGGCTTCCGACACCCAACTAGTAGCTGCATGTAGAGATGTCTCCAGATGACTTGGATTTCTGATCCGCTATCTTGGGGCCATCCTGGGTCGAGAGGTTCATACATCAGTACATATCAGTACCCTCTTGCAACATTTCGCAGTTTACAGCTCGTTGAGGGGGTTCCCCTCTTCAAGCAGCGGAATTGATCTGTGTGCAGATGAAAAATCCTTGCCTGCCAGTCTTGTTCCACGCGGCCGGTTTCTGATTGCCCCGAATCAGTCCCAAATCCAAAATTTGCAGCGTAGATGAGCATGTGCAGTCTTGCAATCATATGCCTGCATACGACTCTACGAGGTGCACCAGGTAAGGGTACGTCACAAGCAGTGACGCAATAGCTTTAAGAGCGACACTGAGGAAGACGCGGGTAGAAATCCAATAGTTGCTTAGTGCGCAGCACGTGACATTATGGACCTGTAATAGCAGGCTCCATTTGCACAAGGCGCTGGCTCAGACTGGCAGCCCAAACTTTCAATTATTCTTGAGATTTTGGGGCCGAGGTGTCAGTAAATTCGCTTCTTTATAGGGCCATCCAGGATAATGTCTAGATATGGGGGTATACAGAGCTATAGTAGGGGGAATGAAAAATACAATTGAAGCTAGCATTTACGGTGCCTAGGTATGCAATCTCTATATATGCCACTAATGATCACAGTTTCCCATTCATTATCCAGACTTCTTTTTCCATGCGATTCTCCATTATCGGGGTAATATCAGTCTGCCCCAGCCATGCAACATGATAGTTTCCATCTTCCTTTCCATACCCCTATATAAACACCTATACAACCCCATGCAATCCTAAATAAAACCTATGTTAACGGCTACACGACCCCTATATAAACCCAATGTTTAGGTATCCGCCAGGCTTACGGACAGTCCGTGCCGCGCCTCACCTGTGAGCAACTCAATGGGAAAAAAGTGCGTAAAGAAATTTCGATCCTCCCAGAAGCGGACAGGGGTGGTTTCAAAATAGTGGTTAGTTCTTGTTACCCTTTATATTTATATAATCCGTAGAGAGCCCAACAAAAATCCTTTTCATGGGGCCCGAAAGCCTACCTCAGAGGATTCTGGAGATCCCAAGGGATTTTACGAGAAATGTTTCACTGTGCTTCATAAGCAGCACCCCCCTTACCTTCCAAAAAAGTGCTGCGGGCTCCCTGGGGAGGCCTGGAATCTGCTAGGGCCCCAACGCCGCAACACATTCAAGAAGGTTTTCGTAACAATGGCCTTGGCACTCATTGTTCTAAGCGGCCACGGGACACGCGAAAGGCGGATACGCAAAAATGACTGCAACATCAACTGCGGACAGGCCCGTTGCCACTTTAATTGCCGCCCTGCTCAGCTCAGAGGCACCCGAGTTATCAGACGAGCTGGCAGCGATCCAGAAGAGCGCGATGGCATAGACTGGGCTCAGAGAAGACATTTCCGTGTCTTAAACTTGGTATGTGTTGCAGGCTTGGTGTGGGGTCCAGAATGAGTATCCTCCTGCCGGTCTGGGGAAAATGCAGGACCTCAAATTTACAGTATGGCACTTCTCTGTCCAAGTCAAAGGCTTTGAATTTGCCCGGATTGTGTTAGACAGATCTTCTAGTTGATGTGTTTTGTTCATGTTGCTCGCTCTAGCCACGATGATCGTGAAATTCTTGATGTCAGGGCACCCATATTAAGATGATCGCAAGGGCTGTCTTGAAGCAGGCCTTCTTTGAGAGCTGAATGTGAAGTGCCTTCAGATCGCGGGCCTGCCCTGACAATTCCTTGAGGAACACTTCACGGATGCGACATAAATGGTTTAATCGACAGCGTGCTGATCCTTCACGCAGCAGTAATGACCAGAGGTGCATCGGGGAATGTTGATCAACTGCACTTGAACAGACCTCCCCTAGAGGACAGGCTCTCAGAAAAACAAGCTCAGATTTTGCATATTACGTAAGATCATAGGGCTTGCGTTCGATCTTCGCGTGAGCACTGCCATCTCGTTTCTCCAAAGGCCGAGCCACTCTCATGTCACAAGCCGAGCCCAACGCATCGCAGAATTCGCGCAAATGCGCGAACAGCCATCTCATTATGCAAGCCGCTCGCTAAGTTCTCTGCAAGCCCAGTCGGCCGCCCAGGTATGAGAGTGTCTTCTGGTCCTCCGAGAAGTGGTTCTGGGAGGTGAAGGCTGCAATATCTTGCAACTCCAGACTCATGCAGCAGCATGGAAAGCTCTTTTACTAGAACGTTTGCGGTATTTCAAGTTGTCCCCATTTGGTTGGGGAGACACTTTTGTGAGGTCTCTCACCTTTCAAGCTGCAAACCATCGCATCTCACGTCACCACGTCCAAGCAGCTACGCCTAGGGGTTTTGGGTCTCACCTGGCCATTTCGGACATCAGGGTTTTTTTGATAGGTTCGAGACCGTGAAAGCGAGCGGCTCATCTTCGTGGGCGACTACGAGTTGGCGGAGCAGGCTTTGGGATTGGCATCTGCTGGCATAATTCAGATAAGGTGTTGGGCTTTTTGGGGGTTGTCCAAGGTTATCAGGTTATCAGCAAAAGGCATATAAGGTACAGAATTTATTGCAGGCAATTACAGGAAATGTGTACGGGAAGTATAAATATGTGATAGGATTTTGGAAGTCCTTCTTTGTGTTTGGGGTTCTCTCGGGACTGTATGAATTCAAGCACTGGATCCCCTTGAGGCCCTTGATGGTGGTCCAAATATTGGCTTCCTCGTCTTCAGAAATCTTAACCAAGCTTTTGCCAGGTAAGGTGTAAGATATTCACATTCATGTCGGGAAGCCTCAGCCCTAAACCTGGTTCCTCCACAGAAAAGATGTGAAGGGTGTTTACAAAATCTAACCCTTGACAAGCCTCAGTTTCCATGTTATTTTCCATTTTTCCATGTGTTCTCCATTGTCGGGGTCATATCCCTATGAATCCTATGAAACCCTTGTATGAAGCCTGAATTGCCAGCTTCCATTTCATGTTCCTTCTTCATTTGATTTTCATTCTTGGTTTAATATCCCCAACCTAAAAACCAAATGGTAGTTTCCACTTTCTTTTCCACGATCCCTGTATAATCCCTATACAACCCTATATCCCTAAACCCTATA